TTATCCTAGGTATATCATCCACTATCCTAGGTATCATCCACTATCAGATACATGCACCGTTACTTCGACTTGGCCTCCATCTCTGCAGTCTACTCTGTAGCACAGTCTCTTACAATAACAATGGAGATCAACTGAACTAAAAATTAATAAAATTCAATAGAATTCACGTGTATTTGCTATATAAGTGAGCAGAGAAAATGCAAGTGATATAAATAACAATAAATGTTTCCTAAACTCTAAAAAAAATCATCTAAGGATAACCTTGACCTGAAATACTATATTTACTTTTTGACCATCTCATCAACAAAATATAACTTACTCTATTTTACTAACAGTAAAAAAAACGTGGGTAAGACAACAGACTGATAAAGAGGAGCAATTAATTGACGTCATTGAGACAGGCTGCATGATGCAGAACTGCTAGACTGAGGAAAAAATGGATGATCTCTCGTTAAGACACAACTCTTAATTTTGCTAGTTATAACCTTACAAAGAAAATAATAAGTCTCATCTAAACAGAGATCTTTTAATTAACTTTGAAAGAATCTGTTGTTATCAAGCTCTATCGTAGCGCTAGCATTGAGAGTTTTTTTTTCTTCCGCGACATTCATTGCATTGGTTTCATGTGCGGATCCAGGAATTTTTTTCCGGGGGGGGGGGTACCTTCTAAAAAATTGATTCAGAAATGTTTTGACGAGCAAAAAAACAAAAAAACAAAACAAAACAAAACAAAAAATCCTAAACAGCTTGTCCAAACCCAAAAATCCTATTTGGGGGAGGGGTAGCGTTACCCCCTCCTTGGGGGAGTAGCTTTCCTTCATACATGTATATATAATTCACTCTCCTAACCATTTTACCAGGGATACGTGTTATAGTTTGTTATCTAGAAGGAGTGCGTGTTCTGTAAGGGGGGAGCTGTCCATGGTAATCTTTTCCTTACTTTTATTTACTACACAAATTTGAAACTTCCAAATTTCCGGGGGAGGGATAGGACAAGTCTCTTTTCTTCATACATGTATATATAGAATACATAAGCGAATCTCTTAAACATTTTACCAGGGATCCGTGTTACCGGTATCTAGAGGGAGTATTGTTCTTCTAGGGGAGGGGCTGTCAAAGGTCATTTTCCCCTTACTTTACTGCACGTACAATTTAAAAACGTGCATGGGTTTTGAATTTTCTTGAAATAGAGAAGTTTAGAACACGCCATTGCCTTTTAAGTTATTGGTTTCTCATTCTCTATAGTTCTGCCAATGAAGATTAAAGTTTTGTTTTGTTTTGGTTTTTTTTTTTTTTGTTTTGTTTTGTTTTGTTTGTTTGTTTTTTTTTTGTTTTTTTTTTTTGGGGTTTTTTTTTTTTTTTTTTTTTTTTTTTTTTTTTTTTTTTGTTTTTTTTTTTTTGAAAGAAGGTAAAACTTCAAGGGCACGTGTGCTAAAGTAAGATATAGATAAAAATATGCAGAAATTTTTTTTAACGATGCCAACCAATTAACAACACAGTATATCACATTTCTTTCATAAAATACTAATATATAAGTATTTTACTAGCAAGTTTTTTCCTACCCTTTTTATTCTTTTTTAACATTGCAACTTACAACAATTTACTTTTATTTTTGAAATGATTGCTTATTAACACCTTTATTCCCATGGTAACGCATGTAATATAGTTGTATTCTAAATTATTTCATTATCCGAATAAGACATCTTTAACTTTAGGAAAGAGTTACTGTTATATTCCTACAGAGTCCTACAGTGTTGCCAACGTTAGTGATAGACCGGAACTTTAAACATGTTCAATTATAATGCTACTTTTCAAGTCACATAACAAACCATTTTTGCCTGATTTATGGTTTTGTTTTGTTTTGTTTTGTTTTTTATCAAACGTGGCCGTTGGAACACAGGGGAGGGGCGCCCCCCCCCCCCTATAATTTTGCAGTACATGTACATAGTATTTTACAGAAAAGAAAGCTACTTTATGGATGTGCCCCCCTCAATAAATACATCCTTATGACCTCCTTTTTGGTAGTGCTCACTCCCATTGAAAATGTTTGGTTGTGCCCCCCCCCCCTTGAAAAAAACCTGACATTGCTTCCTAAGAGCCTGACAAATACTTTTATCATGGAGAGTTTGAAGACTGTGTGTGCCACGGCTGATCCTTAAAAAGAGTTAAAGTCACTACTGAAAATGCCTCCAAATAATTTTACTTCAAAAACACCCAAAACTTCAAATTTCCAATCCCGATTTTAATTTTGAAACACTTTCCTTCTTCAATATATTTAATAATTTGGTAGAAAACCTGTCCTAGTCCTGATCAATTAAGCAAAAGTACAGTTATTAAAGCGTTACATTCTGCATCGAAATCAGCAAAAATGTAAGTAATCATATTGAAAACAATAATAGAAAAAAAGCGTACAGCCAGGGAAGGGGGGATAAAACTGGAGGGGGGCTCTTGTGTCCTATCATCTGTGACAAGTAATTTTGGTTCTTTTATGATTGTCAGCAATCCATACTTTGTTATTTTGTTTAGTTTCAGTTTTAAATTGGAATGTTTACACACATTTGGTCACCAGCAACAATTTCATCGACATCAATATCAATAATTCCTTTGTCATTGGATCATCCAGCAATTAATTCATGATTACGATGACTTGGTTGCTGTTTTTCCGCCTTCTTTTTTCACGCTTAGAAATCTCCACAAAATGATAAATATTTCGAAACAATAGCCATTATTTAAAAACATATTTATTAAGTACACGGTAAATATAGCTATCGGGATTTGATTTTAAAATGGTTGAATACGTATTTGCAAGCACATCAGGTACTTTTTATGCAAACGAATTTCTTTTTTTTTATTTCATAAAAGCCCCACTGGCAGGGACGGATCCAGGATTTTTGTTTGAGGGGCCTTGAGACGAAGACACCTTTGACCCCTTCCTTCACGGAATCACAGGGAAAATGAGGGCGGGGGATGTAGTTTTTGATTGTGAAAAGAAAACCTAATTTGAAGGTTTTGTGGGAAATATAGACATGATATATATTACATTTGTATTTGAGAAAATTAAGAGACCCCCACCCCCCACCCCTACCCCTTTGCCTCTTCTCTTAGTCTGTCAAAGAACATGTTGCTTTACGACTGACAATTCTTCCATTAACCGGCATGTCTGACTGACGCTGAAATCTATAACTTTACTTCATCATAATTTTAGTAAAAAGCTTGTTCAATATTTATGACTATTAATTTTTATGTAAATAATTCATACCGTCTGTTAAGATATTTTTTGTTCAATATTCAAAATCTTTCAAATGGTTTTCATACTTTACTTCCTAATTCTCTCTCTCTCTCTCTCTCTCTCTCTCTCTCTCTCTCTCTCTCTCTCTCTCTCTCTGAACTTGAGGAGAGGGACAGTAGTAGTATAAGGCGCCTAGGTAGGGGGGTCAACTGAGTGCACTTTTGGGCCCGGGGGGGATGGGGGGTAAACTGAGTGCACTTTTGGGCCTCTGGGGGGATGGGGGTCAACTCAGTGCACCCCCGAGGTCAAGGTCAGAGATCTGGAAAAAACCCCACGCGCTCAGCACTTTCTGAGATCTGGAAATTCCTGAGATATGAGATGTGAGATCTGGAAAAACCTGCACGTTCTCAGCACTCACCTGGAAAAACCTAGCCATTATGACGTCATACACTGTATAAGTATTGCATGTTTCTGACTTGAAGCTCATTCTGTTGTCAGTTCCATCAGCTGTCGACATGGATTCTGCTATGAAAAAACTGTTACATGCCCAGCAACTGATGAGATGGAGAAGACGGGCGAAAGAGTTAGAAAGAATTATTTCCAACAATAAACACAGAGAATTAGCGCTCAGAAAAAGAAATGCGAGAATATTAGAGAGAACGCAGAGAGCCCAAGTCCAACAAGAACAACAAAGGACTGTGTCGGATGAAGAACCACACTCATCAGCCCATTCACCACCCCAGAAGCCAAAGGCCATTTCCCAATATTATCAAGTGAGACTGAATCAAGCCAAGCATTCCAGAAAATTTAAAGCTAAAGAAGATGTCTACAGTGTGAATTTTAAGGAATTTCCAGAGGAGGAAAACAGAGGCTTTGTTCGGCGATTATTTAGAGACATGCTGCAAAATGTCAAATATCAAACTCTAAACTCACCTTAGAACCCGTTTACAAAGGCTACGGAGAGGGAACTTGTTTGAATGTCCTGTTAAACAACCATCATTACGATGCCATCATATCTATGCCTGGTGTGACGGGCAATCAATACTACTGTGATCATTGCGACGTGGGCTACAGTCATATTGAACACCATCGTACCCAGTGCCCTCACCGATGTAATTTTTGTTAAACTAACACTCCCTGCCCTCCAGACGGGAGCCACATTCAATGTAGCCAGTGCCAGGGATTTTTTAAGAGTAGGACTTGCTACGAAAACCATCTGCAGCCTCACAGTAAGAATACGGCCACCACCGTATGCAGTTTAATGGGACGATGTAGGCACTGTCAGAAATGGATGCCTAAAAAGTTACTCCCTCATCACCATTGCGGAGGACAGAAACAATGTAAGATCTGTAAGAAAACCGTAGACATGGATCATCAGTGCTACGTTCAACTCAAGCCCGAGAAAAAGAAAAAGAAAGGCAAAGAGACCTTACAGTTCTACATCTATTTCGATTTCGAATGTACGCAGGAAACCGGCATCCACGTCCCTAACCTGTGTGTGGCACACCGCGTATGTCAACATTGCGGTCACTTACCCATAGAAGATCCCTGTCCTCACTGTCGACACATGGGACCCCGTCAACACGTGTTCCGAGGGCCAGAGACCTTAAGGCAGTTCATGGACTGGTAATTACAACCCACTACAGGAAATAAGAATTCCGCTTTATTACACGACGAGGCCATCATCATCGCCCACAATTTCAAAGGATACGACGGACAGTTCATTTTAAATTACCTGGTTCATACCGCCTGCCTGAAACCTACCGTCATCATGAACGGCAGTAAAATCTTATCCATGCAAATCTGCGGACTGAAATTCATCGATTCCTATAATTTTTTACCTTTTGCCCTGTCCAAGATGCCCTCTGCTTTCGGATTCACCGAACTGAAGAAAGGATATTTTCCACACTTTTTTAATACGGAACACAACCATAATTACGTGGGGCCTTATCCACCGGCAGCTTACTACAATCCGGACGACATGTCTATTAGTGGACGACAGGCTTTTTATCAATGGTACGAACAACAAGCCGGAAAAGTGTTTGACTTCCAGAAGGAATTTTTAGACTATTGTATTTCGGACGTCGATATTTTACGACGATGCTGTGCTCAGTTTAGAGCCACCCTCAAGAGCTTGGTCCATGTAGACCCCTTCCAGGAATCCATCACTTTTGCCAGTGCGGCCAATTTAGCTTACCGTCGAGGATTCATGCCCAAAGAGACCATTGCCATCATTCCCAACCTGGGGTATCAGCCTGCGCGTCGATATTCCGCCAAAGCCTGTCGGTGGTTAAGCTGGATGAGTCACCAGACCGGATCTCACATCCAACATGCTAGAAACGGGGGAGAAGTCAAGATCGGAAGTTATACCGTCGACGGATACCAGGAAGCCACTCGCACCGTCTACGAATTTTACGGATGCTATTGGCACGGATGCCCCACCTGCTATCCGAATTTACAGACCGAAAGTCATCCTCACCGGACCCAATTTACCTATGAACAATTACACGAGGAAACTTTAAGACGGAGTTCTGTTTTAGAGGAAATGGGGTACTCCCTCCGTAGCATCTGGGAGCACGAATTCGATCAACAGGTACAAAGAGAGGTAACTCTACAGAATTATGTACGAGACCTGGACATTCCAGATCCTTTGAACCCCCGAGAAGCCCTGTACGGAGGTCGGACTAATGCCACTAAATTATATTGTGAGGAGGGGGACATGAGATACGTGGACGTCTGTTCCTTATACCCTTACGTATTAAAACACAGACCTTTCCCCCTAGGCCATCCTCAGATCATAACAGACCAATTCCAGGACGTGAGAACTTATTTCGGCCTCATTCACTGTCGGGTCCTACCACCCCGAGGCCTCTATCACCCCGTTTTACCTTATCGCACGGGAGGCAAGTTATTGTTTCCCTTATGTCGAACGTGTGCGGAACGACAGGACTCTACCTCTAAACATCGATGTCAACACGCAGACCAGGAACGCAGTCTTACGGGTACCTGGGTGACTACAGAATTACATAAAGCCCTGGACATGGGATATACCTTAGAGCGGATTTACGAGGTTTGGCATTTTTCACAAAGCAGTCGAGATTTATTCAGATCTTACATCGATACCTTCTTAAAGATCAAACAGGAAGCTTCTGGATTCCCACCTGATTGTCAGACGGAGGAACAGAAACTAGATTACATTCTTAAAGTCTTAGACAGAGAAGGGATCAGGATGGACCTGTTAAGTATAGAAAAAAATCCAGTGCTAAGAACGATAGCCAAACTCTTTTTAAATTGCTTGTGGGGAAAATTCGCTCAACGCCTGTTATTACCTAAAACTCGATACTTGACCGAAGAAGAGGAACTACAGCAACTCTTACAAGATTCGACCATTGACATCAAAGGGATAGAACTCTTAGAAAATAAAGAGCAGGCCGAATCGGACATGATGCTGGTCAATTATCAAGAGAAACAGGAATTCGTGGAAGAGTGTCCCTTCGGAAACGTGGTACTGGCCTGTTTCACTACCGCCCATGCCCGATTACACCTCTACGAGACTTTACAACCTTTGGGAGATCGGGTCCTTTATTTCGACACGGACAGTATCATATACCAACATGAGGAGGGACAATTTAATCCTACCCTTGGCAACAGTTTAGGAGAATGGACAGACGAATTAGACGGGGACCACATTATCAAATTCATGTCAGGAGGCCCAAAAAATTATGCTTACCTCACAGCCAAGGGAAAATCCATGTGTAAAGTCAAAGGATTGACTCTCAATTATCGGGCCTCTCAGATCGTGTCACCAGAGACTTTAGAAAAAATGCTCCAGAAAGAAATTGACGAAATCCAAGTCTCGTATCCCTACAAAATACAGAGGACTCGTCAACATGAAGTCAAGACAATACCTTTAGAAAAACAATATAGAATTGTCTATGATAAGAGACAATTGATGGAAGATTATAACACTTTACCTTATGGTTATTAAAAAAAACAAACAAACTGTATTTTAAGTGTTGTTGTTATTTTATGGGGAAAACCCCCAAAAATGAGGGGTTATAAAAAGGGGGGGGGAATAATATAACACTTCAGTCATGGCTGGTGTTGATAAGGAGCCAGACTACCTTCCTGTTTACCCTAAATATGCTCTGCTCTTAAAGAGAGAAGCTACCTTTGATGATCGATGGCCCGATTCTTTAAAAGGATTAATACCCGACCTAGCCAAAGCCGGATTTTATTACAGAGGAGTGAGTGATAAGACCATCTGTTTTCATTGTGGTATGACTTTAAACCTCTGGGAACCTACAGACGATCCTTATGTAGAACATGCTTATTGGAACCCTAATTGTCCCTACATCAATACCTATGAAGGACGTGAGTGGGTGATGAATGTATTCATTAACCATTTACTCCGGGCGGGATACAAACCTTCACCTGAAATCAAACCTCTACTAGACCAAACCTCTACAGAGATCCAGGCCACAGGAAAATGTCACATTTGTTTAGAGAGAGAATTACAAATGGCTTTACTCCCTTGCGGACACGTATGTTGCTGTTCATTATGTGCTCCCACCTTCCGGTATTGCCCCATCTGTCGAGCCGATGTGAAGAGAACCCAGCGTATATTTCTGTGTTGACTATGAATAAAAAGGATTGAAACCCTATTTTTCTCTTCATTTGTCATCATGCAACCTGAGGAGACACTCCCGTCTTTTCAATTGAAACACGAATTTACCATGGTGGTAGCAGGACCTTCTAAATCGGGAAAAATGGAATTTGTCAAGAAATTGGTGGAAAATTTACATTGGATTACCCCCATGCCACAAAAAATTGTCTGATGTTATCGGGAATGGCAACCTGCTTACACTTCTTTAACAGATCGGGTCTCCTTCATTCGAAATATTCCAGAAGACGATGAGAAATTAGTGGCCAATTTAACTATTCCTCACTTACTCATTTTTGACGACATGATGGGAGGAAAAGCCATCGAATCGATCGTGGATTGGTTTACCCGTAAAGCGCATCATCGGAATACCAGTGTGATTTACATCACTCAGAACTTATTTGATCGGGCACCACAGCATCGCACCATTAGTTTGAATGCTCATTATTTAGTGTTGTTTAAAAATCCCAGAGACAAATCTCAAATCAGTGTCTTGAGTCGACAGTTAGCCTTACCACATTTGATGTCGGCCTATCAAGAAGCCACCAGTGTTCCTCACGGGTATCTCCTGGTGGACTTGAATCCACAGACCCCAGACGAATACAGATTGAGAAGTCGATTGTTTGAATGGTTGACTGTACACATGCCACAAGAGTATAAATAAAAATGTACCAACATTACACTTGTCATTCATCATTATACAGTCGTCATGGGTCGACCTCTCTCGGCCAAGAGTAAATTAGTGAAAACGTTACGACGTTTACAGCGGGAACGAGATCCTGCCAAGCGAGCTCATTTAATCGAATTAGGGCGTAAAGCCTTATTGAATTGGTTTGCTATGGGAGCTCGAAATTTGATACGTGGGGTCTTACCCATCAATAAACAGACTCAAAAGTTTATTAATAATCATCATCAAGATTTAAGCATCATAGCCGATAAGTCGGCGAGTGATCAAGACAGAAAAAATGCCATTTTAAAACGCGGAGGAGCCGGATTTCTAGGCGGAGTCATCATTCGTCATTTATTTAAATGGAATGCACCTAAGAAACGACGTGTCCGTCGTTTGAAAAGTGTGGTAGTCAGAGTCGATAATAAGAAACAAAGAGTGTTTCCCGATTGGATGGTGCGAGTAGGAGGAGCAGCTCAAAAGACCAGAAAGAAGAGAAAACCTCCTAAGAGAAAACCTCAAAAGAGAAAACCTACTCAAAGAAAAGCCCCTGGTGGTAGAAAGAAAAAAAAAAGACTCCCAAGACTCCAGCTCAACGAAAAGCCATGCCCGAAAGTCTGAAAAACGAAATCAATCAGTATTATAAGGAACAAAGACAAAAAACTATTGGGGAGTTATTAAAGAAACAAGCTGAAATGAGAATGGATCGTCCTATGGGGCCCATAGGCAGTCAAAGAGCTACCGATTTAGAAGTGTTTCCTCGAGTCAATGTAGGAATTCCCTCTCCTAGAATTAAAGTACCCATTCACACTCCTAAAATAGCACGCTTTCAACCTCTGACCGCCTCTACACCTACACTTCCTAAAGGAATGAGATATAAATGTCGATATTGTTCCAAAATCTACGTCACCCAGAAAAATAGAGACAAACACGAGAAGGACAAACACGACATGTATGCTCCTCCTCCTTGAGAGTATAAAAAGGAGAGAAACCTGGGACATGTCCTCATTTTAACCCCAGGATGGCTAAGAAGAAGAAAAGAAGGACTTGCTGTTCTACACGATTAAAACCTCACTGGCCTCTTTTAAGAGTGTTATCTGACCCTCACTATTCCTCTCCATTAAAGACGGGTATTTTAAAACATTGTTCTGGAGATTGTATTCTCAAAATCTGCGAGATCGTGTACAACCTATTAAAAGGAGTGTTACCTCTCAGTTCGGCTCATAAACGAAAACTAGCTCCTAAGAAACACATCTTCAGGAGACTGGTCAAACCTCAATCTGTCCATAAACGACGAGCTTTATTACTTCAACAAAAAGGAGGAAACATTTTACCCCTTTTAATCTCAGCAGCACCTTTACTGTTGGGTGCCGGTCAGTCCGTCTATAAAGTCATCAAGAAGAAGAAGAAGAAAAAAAAAATGAGTCGTAAAATGGTGTTAGTTCCCGAAGCCTTATTGAATGATCTCAAGGCAAAATTACCCAAACCTCCGGAATTTCAATCTACCATCAGTTTAGGTCAGGAATTGGACGAGATTACAAGACGTGAAGATTTAACCCCAGAAGAAAAAGTCGCTTTATATGGCCAGGAACTTCATCGATATAGGAATTATTTACAACAAGCTAGACAGGAACCTATTTCTAAACCTAAAATTTCAGCAGCTCCAGCAGCAGGAGCAGCATTACCAGCAGCCCCAGCTGAGATTGAAGATGAAATTCTTGAAACAGTGAATAAAAACATGAAAAGAAAAGCTGGATTATTATTAAATCATTTAAAGAAAACCAAGGTGTTGAGTTGGAATAAGGAAGGTGAAATTAGTTATCGAGGTCAAAAAGTTCCCGATTCTAACATTGTGGATTTAATGGCTGATAGTATGAGATCTCGTTCTCGTAAAAACCATCCCCTTCCTAAAGGATTAGATGAATTTGCTCAAGCTTTAAAAGAGACGCGTACTCCTCTGGAATACGTGAGCAATGGAAACCTTATAAAAGCCATGCAGAGACCTGGAAAAATCAGTACTCCTAAAAGTATCCTCAGTGATAGTGAGGACGAGGGCGATAGTGGATTTAAAGATGCTTCTTCTTCATTTTTGACCCCTATTAGTAGACCTGTAGGAGATAGAGGAATAAAAAAATCCACTCCTAGACCTCTGTTAAATTTAGCGAAGGCCATCAAAAAATCTAAATTCAGTCCAAGTTTACCGAACAAGAGATTAGAACAGATCGACGAAAATTGGCTTTCATTACCTAAGATATGAAAAAGAAACCAGTGGAAGACATTTTAAAAGAGATTTATTATGATCCTAAAAGAGGGTACGGAGGACTACAAGCTTTGTATCGTCAGGTCAGAAGTCTGGGACATAAGATTTCCTTGAAAAAGATTCGAGAATGGTTAAAAGAGCAAGATACGTATACCTTACATAAACCCATTCAAAGAAAATTCCGGAGACAACAGACTAGAGTGACGGATATAGACGAACAATGGCAATTAGATTTAGCAGATGTGTCCAGTTTAAAGAAACACAATGACGGATATACGTTTTTATTGTGTGCCATTGACGTCTTATCTAAATATGCCTGGGTGTTGCCTTTAAAACAGAAAACGGGAAAGGAAATGATTCGAGGATTACGAGAGATTTTTCAACAAGACGGTCGACGTCCCGTCCGCATTCAATCGGATCAAGGAAAAGAATTTACCAATCGAGAATTCTTACAAGCTTTTAAATCCATTCATTTTTTACCACTCGTAATACGGACACCAAAGCCAGTATCGTGGAACGATTTCAGCGTACTCTCAAAGCACGCATGTGGCGTTATTTCACCCGTCATAAAACCAGACGGTATTTAGAGATCTTACCGGATTTAGTGTATGCTTACAATCACACTTATCATCGCAGTATCCAAAGAACACCAGCTCAAGTGAATGCTTCTAATGTGTTAAAAGTCTGGAAAACTTTATATGGGAAATCCAATCGGAAACAGTTTCCTAAACCTCAGTTTAAAGAAGGAGATCGGGTACGCATCAGTAAAGCCAAGCGCACATTTGAAAAAGGATATTTACCTAACTGAACCACAGAACTGTTTACCATTTCAAAAAGAGTTCCTGGAAGGTATCCTTACGTGTATAGAGTGCAAGATTATAACGGAGAGGAATTAGAAGGGACTTTTTACGAGAAAGAATTACAAAAGATCATTAAAAAAGACGACCTGTACGAAGTGGAGGAAATCTTGGGGTATAAAAAGCGACGCCTAGGGGAAAAAATCATTCAAGAAGTCAAAGTTCGGTGGAAAGGATATCCCCCTAGTTTCGATTCATGGATTCCCCAAACGGATCTCATCCAATAACTCCTCACTGGAAATTTTGCGGAGAGAATGTTCCCCGAGAAGAAATCGTTTATTTCGCACAATTATTGATCTGTGTATCTCTCATCGTCACCAGTGTGGTCATGTTAGCTTTACACGATCCTAATCGAGAATATTGGATGGTATGTGTGAGTTCTTCAGTGGGTTATATCATGCCTAGTCCTACGATGATGCATCATACACCTACCCCTAAGAAGACCACGAATGCACAGAGTTAATGTCTTTTAAAAAAAAATAGATACACCACAGAGTATATATAAAATGGGGAAAACAACAAATTTTTTTTCATTTCTGAT